TTGAATTCATTATTAACAGAACGAAGTACCTGAAAAAATTTTGAAAAACTTGATTTTCAACAAACTTTACAGTATCAACTTGATTTTCAAGAAACTTAACAGTATCAACATGACTTTTAACAAACTTAACAGTATCAACATGACTTTCAACAAACTCTACGCTATCAACATGACTTTCAATAAATTCTACGCTACCAACATGACTTTTAACAAATTCTACGCTATCAACATGACTTTTAACAAACTCTACGCTATCAACATGAATTTCAACAAATTCTACGCTATCAAGATGACTTTCAACTAATTCTACGCTATCAACATGACTTTCAACAAATTCTACGCTATCAAAATGACTTTCAATAAATTCTACGCTATCAACATGACTTTCAACAAATTCTACGCTATCAAGATGACTTTTAATAAATTCTACGCTAACAACATAACTTTCAACATATTTTACACTATCAACATGACTTTCAACAAATTCTACGCTATCAAGATTACTTTCAACAAATTCTCCGTTATCAAGATTTCTTTCAACAAATTTCATGCTATCAATATGGGGAGGGGGGGGGGTTAAATAAGCTTGCGTTGGGTAGGAAAATGTTCCAAAAACTATTAAACATACTCCTTCTATTGTATGAAGAATGCAATAGTAACAAATTTAAAAACAAATCAACATAAAAATTAGGATTTTTTCAAACCTCTTAAATAAATATGTCAGAAACACATATTAAAATGGACTAACTTACGAAGCCAAATATGTATCTAATTTTCATTAAAAGATTAATTGCTCTAAATGTTATTAAATATTTTCTAATCTATTTAAATTTTAGATTGTTTGCAAAACATTTAGTTAAATATTTTTTTCCATAAAGATATTCGTAAATATAACCAGTAAATAATAATGAAAACAAATTTTGCTTAAAAATAAATGCTAAACAAAAAAACCATCTAAAATATGAAAAAACAAAGTTAAAATAACTAAAAAACCACACAGGTTAAGTGACAGTCATATCTGTATCTGAAGTGGCATCTTTGATAGTATGAGTAATAATAAAAAAATTAATTAAAACATCATATTTTGTGTTATTTCTGTCAGCTTATTCTATAAATAAAAATCATAACATATTTTTAAAATGTAAAGTGATATAACTCTTTGCATTCAAAATATTCAACCATTTTGCCAGCAGCAGGCATTCGACAGGAAGAGAAAATATCTAACTCTTGAAAATTGAATAAGTAGTATATAACAAATATGATGTTTTAATGAATTAATTATATATATATTTAATTATATATATAGATCCATAGATATAGATCTATACATATATCATAGATTATTATCAAATAATAACTTGCACGAATCACAAAAGAAGATATCACAGATACTTTTTTGATAGTCAATTAAACATGTTAAGTGATATAACTCATCGCATTCAAAACATTTAATCATTTGGCCTGCAGCCGGCATTCAACAAGAACAGAAAATATCTATAGTCTCAATGCGACTAACCCCACCAATTTCTGTACTTACCTTCACTGTTGGAAACATGGAAAGAACCGTTTCTTGAAGGCTTTTCAATAAATGATCCCGCATCAGATTTTGTTTAAACAAACAATGATCTGGTTGTATCTGCTTAGTTAAAGCTGCAGCAAAAGCTACAGCAAATAAACCGCAATCATTTCCTCCTTTCTGTTTTTGAACATCCATTATTTTAATGATAATTTTTTTCTCAGGACATACCAAAAGGGCAGCAATCTGTTTTTTCCCTTGATCACTCAAAGAGTTCAACATGCTGTCATAAATAAAAACTTCATTCATTTTTTGCGCTCCTATATTGCTAATTGTAAACCAGTGTCCATATCCATCATGGAGTATCTGGATAAAACTTTTTTCATTGCAAGAAATGCCATATTTAATCCTAGAATAGGATCTTGGAAACCAGCTATTGATGACTGTGCCTTTAAAATATTCCGTGAGGCAAAAATTATGCTATCTGTTAGCCACTCATTCTCACTCCTAAGAATATTTCTTTCAATGGATGTCAATTCACACAAACTGTTTTTTATCCACAATACCTCCTTTTTTGTTTCTTTGGATGCAATTTTGTAGGTTTCCACCTCAATTGTACTTATCTCAATTCTCTGATCTTTATTGGATACATTTGTTTCATAACATTTTTTCTTTGCTGGTGTACAATAATCATGATCATGATTGTTGCAGAATTTTGAGGACTGCATTGGCAATATAATAGATTTTGAGGACTGCATTGGCAACAGAGTAGATTTAATACTAGATGTAAAAAATATATCAGATTTGTTTTTCTGGTCGCTGATGTTGCCTGTTGGATTTGTATGACTACTATCAATTTTACTACATTCCTTAAAAGAATCCGCCTCTGTTATTGCCACATTAATATCACAAGTAATGTATGGCTTAATGTGAGCACCATTAACCTTTTTTTCCTTTAAGGTGGCTATCTCTTGTAAGAGATATGACCCCTTTCCTAAATTTTTCAAAATACAGAAAGGTCCAAGCCATCTGAAATCTAGTTTTCCATCTTTTCGTTTTTTCCGCAAAAAATCCTTGATCAGGACTTTGGATCCAATTGCATAAACAAATGGATTAGCATGCTTCTTGTTATAATGCAGTTTCTGTTTTTCTTGAGCTGTTTCGATATTTTTTTTAGCTTTTTCTAGGATACATGATCTAAAGTATAAATAGTTATTGTAAAACTTCAGAATAAATTTAAAATCAAACAAAGAACTTTTCACATTTTATATCTTTTAATAATTGTTGTACCATTAAATTTTGTACAATGCTATTCAGGCTACCAGAAAGAAAAAAAGAAAAGAAAGAAGGAACAATTTTTTTTTTTTTTTTTTTTTTTTTTAACATCTTCACTTCCAACAAGGCTGCAAGCAACCACTATAAGAGTTGGAAGTTACTGGAAGAGAAAAGACTAAATCTGTAGAGCAAGATGACGATTGACTGATGA